ATAGTCACCGCCAGGGGGCGATCGAGATGCGTTTTCTTTTCATAGTCACTGCCAGGGGGCGATCGAGATGCGTTTTCTTTTCATAGTCACTGCCAGGGGGCGATCGAGATGCGTTTTCTTTTCATAGTCACTGCCAGGGGGTGATCGAGATGCGTTTTCTTTTCATAGTCACTGCCAGGGGGTGATCGAGATGCGTTTTCTTTCCACAGTCACTGCCAGGGGGCGATCGAGATGCGTTTTCTTTTCATAGTCACTGCCAGGGGGGCGATCGAGATGCGTTCACTTTTTACAGTCACCGCCAGGGGATGATCGAGATGCATTTTCTCTTCATAGTCACTGCCAGGGGGTGATCGAGATGCGTTTTCTTTTCATAGTCACCGCCAGGGGGCGATCGAGATGCGTTTTCTTTTCATAGTCACTGCCAGGGGGCGATCGAGATGCGTTTTCTTTTCATAGTCACTGCCAGGGGGTGATCGAGATGCGTTTTTTTTTCATAGTCACCACCAGGGGGCGATCGAGATGCGTTTTCTTTTCCTAGTCACTGCCAGGGGGGCGATCGAGATGCGTTCACTTTTTACAGTCACCGCCAGGGGATGATCGAGATGCGTTTTCTCTTCATAGTCACTGCCAGGGGGTGATCGAGATGCGTTTTCTTTTCATAGTCACCGCCAGGGGGCGATCGAGATGCGTTTTCTTTTCATAGTCACTGCCAGGGGGCGATCGAGATGCGTTTTCTTTTCATAGTCACTGCCAGGGGGTGATCGAGATGCGTTTTTTTTTCATAGTCACCGCCAGGGGGCGATCGAGATGCGTTTTCTTTTCATAGTCACTGCCAGGGGGCGATCGAGATGCGTTTTCTTTTCATAGTCACCGCCAGGGGGCGATCGAGATGCGTTTTCTTTTCATAGTCACCGCCAGGGGACGATCGAGATGCGTTTTCTTTTCATAGTCACTGCCAGGGGGCGATCGAGATGCGTTTTCTTTTCATAGTCACTGCCAGGGGGCGATCGAGATGCGTTTTCTTTTCATAGTCACTGCCAGGGGGCGATCGAGATGCGTTCACTTTTTACAGTCACCGCCAGGGGATGATCGAGATGCGTTTTCTCTTCATAGTCACTGCCAGGGGGTGATCGAGATGCGTTTTCTTTTCATAGTCACCGCCAGGGGGCGATCGAGATGCGTTTTCTTTTCATAGTCACTGCCAGGGGGCGATCGAGATGCGTTTTCTTTTCATAGTCACTGCCAGGGGGTGATCGAGATGCGTTTTTTTTCATAGTCACCACCAGGGGGCGATCGAGATGCGTTTTCTTTTCCTAGTCACTGCCAGGGGGCGATCGAGATGCGTTCACTTTTTACAGTCACCGCCAGGGGATGATCGAGATGCGTTTTCTCTTCATAGTCACTGCCAGGGGTGATCGAGATGCGTTTTCTTTTCATAGTCACCGCCAGGGGGCGATCGAGATGCGTTTTCTTTTCATAGTCACTGCCAGGGGGCGATCGAGATGCGTTTTCTTTTCATAGTCACTGCCAGGGGGTGATCGAGATGCGTTTTTTTTTCATAGTCACCGCCAGGGGGCGATCGAGATGCGTTTTCTTTTCATAGTCACTGCCAGGGGGCGATCGAGATGCGTTTTCTTTTCATAGTCACCGCCAGGGGGCGATCGAGATGCGTTTTCTTTTCATAGTCACCGCCAGGGGACGATCGAGATGCGTTTTCTTTTCATAGTCACTGCCAGGGGGCGATCGAGATGCGTTTTCTTTTCATAGTCACTGCCAGGGGGCGATCGAGATGCGTTTTCTTTTCATAGTCACTGCCAGGGGGCGATCGAGATGCGTTTTATTTTCATAGTCACCGCCAGGGGGCGATCGAGATGCGTTTTCTTTTCATAGTCACTGCCAGGGGGCGATCGAGATGCGTTTTCTTTTCATAGTCACTGCCAGGGGGCGATCGAGATGCGTTTTCTTTTCATAGTCACCGCCAGGGGGCGATCGAGATGCGTTTTATTTTCATAGTCACCGCCAGGGGGCGATCGAGATGCGTTTTCTTTTCATAGTCACTGCCAGGGGGCGATCGAGATGCGTTTTCTTTTCATAGTCACTGCCAGGGGGCGATCGAGATACGTTCACTTTACAGACAATCGTCACCAGGGGATGATCGAGATGCGCTCTTTTTTCAGAGTAACCGCCAGGGGGCGATCGAGATGCGTTCACTTTACGGACAATTACCGCCACTTACTGGTGTAACAGTGTAAAGTCGCTTGAGTCATGAAGTCATTTTTATGTACTTCTGACAGTAAAATAAGCCACTATGAACTTATATAAAGACCAAGTCATGCAAAAAAACAAATATATATAAACCAGAGCCATAGAGAAAGAGTTGCGACACTCTCACGTGGTTCATGTAAGCCCCAATAGTTCCAAAACATACGCGGGCTGTCATGTTCTTCTATGAGACAGACAGCAGCGATTGTATCATTGAACGGAAAATATAAAATAAAACACTCACCTAAGTACTTTTTCAGCTGTTATTGCATTTTTTTTAATGTCAGTTTTGCAGAGGCAGGGTGACTATGAAATCCTGTAGATTACTTAGATAAGTTTTAGGCTATATTTTTGGAGGGAAAAGCTTAGTGTTCATGTTTTGAATGGGTAGTAGGACTGGCTTTAGCGGCTCTAACTTAACTTTTCAATATCATTCATCTGATTATGGACATCTCCTGATATTTATTTTTGCACAACAGAGAAAAAATGGGAACATAGTGTCGGAGCTGCATGTACCCCAAACACACTGTTTGACCATTTTAAACTTAAAATGACACGAAAAAAAGCAAATGAAAACTGACCAACTGCATTGTAAATCAAATGAGGTGGAAGCAGAGAATGTCCGATTCTATTGGGTTAGCTGTGCACTGTGATTGGCTCATCGTGTTTAAGGGCGTGGCTTAGCCTTTGGTCAATTAACTAACAAAACACTTGTAACTTCTGTTACAACTATTCAGACATCAATTAAGCATGGCTTAATTGTTAAGCCATGTTTTTATTGAACAATACCAGACGACAAAAATGTGTGAGGGTGTGTGTGAACAAGAAAAACAAAAACCAGGGCTAAAGGCAGATTAATTTAAATTATTAAAAGTATTTTACTTTAGGAGAGAGAGCCTGAAAATATGAATATTATACATATTAAAACTATTTAAAGAAACAGCCATTGAACCAAGGGCAACAAAGTTTTTTCAACAAGAAAAATAAAAATCACGAGGCCACTTTGCCAGGGGGAGTTGAGTGATCCATTGACCAGACTGCCAGGGGCCATAGAGGACCTAATGGAGCAACTCAGAATGGAAAAGGAGAGAAGAGAGGGTGTTGCGCAACAAAACAAAATAATACATTAAATGAAAAGTATATCCCAAAAAAATGATGAAATAGAAGTTGCAATAAAGATAGCGATTCATTACCGAACTCAGTAAGCTGTAACCTAACCCGCTAACTAGCTAGCAGGCAGTGCTTGAAAATTGGTTGAAACAACCAACATAAAATATAAATAATTACACTGTGCATGCATGAAGACCAGTATAACAAGCATCGCAATAGGGCCTCTGATACAATATAGACAGTTGACAATTCAAAAGAGGTCGATATTTCAGAAACGTACCTCTCGAACAACTCGACAGCCAAATGACAGTGTTTGGAAAGCACCGCCATTTTTTACAACGGAGGTCTATGGGAGTGTCGCCACTTTTTCTCTCAATGGCTCTGGCCAAAACCATTGAAAAAAATTATATTTTTGGTCATAGCACCCAAAACTAGTTTTATTGTTAAAAACTAGTTAAAAGTAGTTTTAATTTCATTTATACTTTTATACAGTATGCAGTGAAGTCCAAGGTTGTATAATGACCATTTTGTAGTATGATAATAAAAACTAATAAAATAAAAATGTGATACTTTTTTTTTTTTGTAAGTATGACCCATCGTGTACATCATATTCAGTCCGTATAAGGGTGTGATATATATATATATATTGTTGTTGTTGTTGTTGTTTAAAACACTAAACATTGCATGTTTATTAGCATTGGAAACATTTTTGTTTGGTATCTATTAGTTACAAATGGTACAAACAAATAAAGTACAAATAAACACTAATATGCTTTACATACAAAGGAGGAAACAACAGATGATGACCGTAATATTGTTTCCTGGTCTTTATTTAGACCTGAGGGGAATCACATGAGACACAAATCACCCGATAATGTCATTTCTCAAATACATTTGATGCTTATCTCTCTCTCTCTCTCTCTCTCTCTCTGTCTCTCTCTCTCCCTCATAAGTGTAATATAACCCGCAGTTGCTTTGATAAAAAAGCATTATGTCATGATCATAAAATATGATATAAGGTACGTTTATAAAAACACCTCCCATATGATCACATTTCGTTTTGGCAGGTTTCACACACATAAATGTAAATTTTATGCAAAAATTTTAATGCAATAAGGAAAGTTGGAAAAAAAATTCCAACTTATTTCAAGATCCCAAGTTAATTAAATTTATTGTATACCACCCTGTCAGTTGGTTATATGTATCAGTGATATACATTGCTAGCTTAAAATGATCCCAAAAATAGATGATGCTAATAAGTATCTGAGAATTAGTATTGTAATTAATGTTAATTATAAACATAATAATAACAACACAGAAAACTCTCTGTCCGAGAATCAGATTCAGCGATGACTGATCTTCCACATTTACAGTTTTACCAAAGCCCGGTGAGGAAAAAAGATCAATCACCAAAAAGGACAAATAAAGTGCTAAAACAGAAATAAAGGAGATGAAGATGAAAGACAGAATTAAAAAATCTAACAGAAAATGAATTAAGTTGAGAAAATAGGAATATAAAAGTAAACTAATTCATGTAAAGGTGATAATTTGCCAGTGTAATCCTCTCTCTCTCTCTCTCTCTCTTTCTCTCTCTCTCTCTGGGGAGGAGTCACACCTGAAACAGGAAGTACAGTAAAGGTGTTACACTGAAACACGTCATTGAACACCAGATCAGTTCTTCAAAATCCTCACAGATGCGCGTTATCGATCACTGGACTCGTCATTTGGGGAATATGGTAAGTCTGGGTTACTCTATTATATAAATGGTGTTTATTGACAGCTAAAGACAGGTAAACTCTGTCATTTGTTTACATGACAGCAACGATTTATTATTCTTATTTTAAAACTAGCTTCCTCAAGTATTAGTATTAGTATTAGTGTTAGATAAGTATTAAACAAAAATCCAGCCGGTGTTTTTACCGAAGAGGCCGGAGAAGGCGAGCACGAGCGCGCGCGGTTGACAAGAAGCGTAGAGTTTAGTATTGTTTGTTAAATGTATAGTTTACTATTGTTAAATGCTCTATATATTGTCTCTTATTTAATCAGATAGACAGGCTATCACTGCTTCAGCGTAGAAAGTTCACCCCTACTTTATCACTGCATCAAATCCCTACATTTTTAATTTTGCTCCAATTAGTGAAATCGAATGCAAATTAGTCGAACATAATTAATAAAGAGGAAGACAACAAACTGATTTTGCCTGAGCCCCTCACACAGTCTGGGAGTGGATTTCAAAGCCATTTTCTACACGTCCAAATATATCAAGAAAGACAATACACATAAATTGAACGTATATTTAAAATAAAAGTTAGCAAAATAGCAAGTCAATGCTGCTTTTCTAAGTACAATCAACTAAGCTGTTTGAGTCGTAACTTAAATGACATTAAACTGACTTGACTCTAACTTATCACTTAACTTATTTTAATGAGTTAAAGTAATGTATGTGTTGTCATGATCTATCGATAATATATCATTCTTTTTGCATCGTGTGTATTTTGCATGCACTGGAGCATTATGATAAAAAAAATCAATTCTATCTTTATCTTATTTATTTTTTAATTATTGATGACTTGAAAGAATGGATGAATTCATTTATGAATAATATCTGTGTAGGCATATATATATATATATATATATATATTATGGTTAGGGACAGGTGTGGTTAGGGACAGGTGTGGTGGTATGGGTAGGTATTACATGCAGGTATTTTCAAAATATAAGTACAATGTAAAAACACGTATGTACACAATAAGTCCAATGTATCAAAGTAGTAACTTCAATGTAAGTACATAGTACTTAAAGCCACTTAATATAAAGTGGGACCTGTCAATCTGTCTCACTCTCTCTTAAATCAAGATAGACACTACATGTATATTTAAAATAAAATGAGCAAAATGGCAAGTTAATGCTGCACAAAATTAAGTACAATCAACTTTTGCATCAACTGTAAAAGTCATTTATATTTAATATGTGTATTTTGCATGCACTGAACACATTGTGATTTAAAAAAAAATCAATTTTATTATTGATGACCTGAAAGAATAAATTTATGGGGAATATCTAGTGTAGGCATTTATACAAGATAATTTATATAATTATAACATGTTTAATTAGAATTCATAGCATGCATTTTAAAGAGCATTTACTTGTTGCTGTTCCAGCCTGATTCGAAAGCGAGAGCAACATGTGTGTGCAGCACACGGACGACACAGGGGCTCCTCCACTGAAACACACCCCCGTCAGACGCCAGCATGCAGCAGTCGAGGTGTTTCCAGCATCCGCCCGCGGGCCTGAGTCGGGACACACACGACCTGCAGACCAAGGTGGACTTCTTCCGTAAGCTGGGCTACTCTCCGGAGGAGGTGAAGGCCGCGCTGAGGAAGCTGGGACTGGGGACGGACACCAACGCTGTGCTGGGTGAACTGGTGCGGTCCGGGGCGAAGACCGTGCCCTCCTCCAGCTCCGACAGTGATGATGGCTTGCCCCAGTGGGGGGGGAGCTCATCCCGGGGTCAGGGGTCAACGCCGGAGGACAACAGTGAGCCTGAAAGTGACCTGAAGCCGATAGTCATCGATGGCAGTAATGTGGCCATGAGGTGAGGAATCCGCTCGGCTTTCAATAGTCTTTCCAACCATCTAATGGAGCTTGAGTCTTTGTGCCGGTTTCTTTTATTTCAATAGTCTTTCCGTATGAATTCTCTTACTCTTTAACAGTATCAACAAGTTGCAGTTACAAAGGGAAGTACAGGATGAATGAACTTTTCCCAAACTGTGCAAGGCTTTTACTTTTTTTTTTATAAATGTCGGTCCACCTCAGATTGTTGTAATCCCTTAAAAAAGGGAATATCGCCAAATAATTGCATAAATGCACATGCAAAATGGTTGATGGCTCATTATTTGTACTTGTATTATAATTCAGATCAAAAGTAGAGAGTAGTTTGTTTATAGTAGTTACCACTTCCCATGCTGAATTGCTCACGTTGCCTCAGGGCATTAACCTTAAACCTGCTTCTTTTGAAAAGCTTTTCACTTCCTCTTTGTCCATGTCTTTCTGTTCTCCAATATGCAAATACTATTTAACCTTTTCACTACCAGTAAGATAGGTCTACTCGACATACCCAGTGACATTTTTGGTCACGCTTTCTGCAAATGTCACAGTAGGGAATTCTGCGGAAGAGATTTTTCCCTGAATGCAACGCTTTACAAAGACTGTATGTGAAAGGCTGCTGATGCATTGATATTTGTTATAACAACATGACGTAATGAAAATTGCAGTTTTGTATGTACGTCATCATTTCCATCTCGGTTTTCTTTATCAAACATCTCTGACAGGCATCTTTCAGCAAGTGCGGTGCGCATTCCAGTTGTCTTGTAGTTTTCTGTTTTGTGGTTATGCAAATCAGCATGTGTTTTAGCTTGCTCCGACATGCATTATTTCCTTAAGCTATTCCAATTTCCAGAGCGGGAATTAATTATTTTAGGTTCATTGGGCTTTCTGAGTTCAATCATGATACTCAATTTGATGCACAAATCACAACATTACATCATGGCACATGCTGATTGGCCTCTGCTGATCCTGCAGCCAATGAGATTCTTGCTCAACATTTGAATAGTGTGGTTCAGTGTTTGTGTAAGCGAGTCCTGCAGTGTGTTGCTCTGAATGAACCCCTTCACCTCCCCAGCTCCACCTGCCCTAGCAGATCTAATCTATCCAAATACAGTAATATTTTCAGTAACAATAACATGCTAAGACTATTAATAATATAAATATATATATATATTAGGGCTGTCAAACGATTAATCGTGATTAATCGCATCCAAAATAAAAGTTTGTGTTTGCATAATATATGTGGGTGCACTGTGTATAATTATTTTGTATATATATAAATACACATAAATGGATATATATTTAAGAAAAAAATATTATTTATATATGAAATATTTTTATTTTTATATAATATAAATTATATATAAATCTATATAGAGTATATAAATGAAAATATTTCTTAATTATACTGTATAGAAGCATTGGTATGTATTTATATATATAAAATAATTATACACCGTGCATCCACATATATAAACACAAACTTTTATTTTGGATAAGATTAATCGCGATTAATCGTTTGACAGCCCTGATATATATATATATATATATATATATATATATATGAAGAGTTCAGATGCAAAAGCCTCTTAAGTGCCATTTGAAATTTTCTTCTAGAATGATCTAGATTTTATCAAGCTTGTATATTTAAGTTCAATCATTTCACTTAAATGACAATTAATAGGTCATCTTCATTGCCATTTAAGTGGAATTATAATATATATATATATATATGGTATTTCCGGTGAAGGTGTAAGGATGCTCGATAACTTCCGCCTATCGTAGAGTCCAATGTAATACCGAGAATTTATATTGAATTTTATACTCCATGGTTATACTAAAGAAACGTTAGTCACAAAAACAGATAAAACAGACACCCATCGTTGTGTTTATGCTTCTTTTTAAAATTATATTAAATAAACATAACTATATAAAATTACATCTATGTACGTTTCGTTTCAAAGACAGGAGAACAGTACATTTTGAAGACTCTGCCATAATCCCGTTTTCCTCGGTTTTCCTCCGCTTTAATCTTCACAACCGGAAATGGACGAGCGTCAAATGCGGAACTCATGTGTGCATATAGCCCATTGAACCTTTTCGGTTCGAGTTTTCCGGTTCGGAATCGGTACGCATACAAACCGAACGATTCCTTGGACCATTTTTCCGACAAGATTCGCGCTGGCACGGCCACCACAACGTTGCGCAACATCATATGGCAAGCGTAATGAAAGCAGAACGAAACTGCGTTACTCATTATGTGCTTCACGGATCATTTATCAGTTCGGACCAGCAACATCTGTGCAGCGCGAGCCGATCGCGATCGAGCGACACTGTTACTACACAGAGATCCAGTAAAGAAAACATTTGAATTCGCCACTGAAGTGATAACATCGCTGCGAGATCTAGTGACAAACATTCACATTTCTTCGTTATTAACCGTAGATCTCTATTAGATCAATCAGCGCTGACGTGGAAACCAGGAGAAACATTGTGCCGTGAATGAACTAGTAATACTTTACGTCCACAGACCAGCAACATTCACCATGAATTTAATATAGAAACACTATCTGGAACCAGTTTGGCTGGAATAGTAAAATGCTTTCTAGTACTTCACACATCTTTTTCCAGCACTTCAAAACTCAAATATTATATAAATAAATGTATATTTAAAAGTTATTTTTGTTCATCCTTCAAAGATAACTCCCATTTATAAACCTGAAAGTTTCCAGATGTTGGAAAACTCAAACCTATTTAAAAAAAAAAAATTCTTTTAACAAATTTTCTTTCTTTCTGCTGTATCGAAAACGTACCGAACAGTGATATTTGTGTACAGTTACACACCTAATATATATATATATATATATGTATTATTTATACATGCACACATTCAGGTTCACACAGGACTCGGAAGACACTTGTGAAAATGTTTTTTAATCTGACACGTGCATCTTAGAAATGTGACATTCATGGTGAAAAAGCAGCAGTACGTGACCAAACCCCAGAGGGACCTTAACGTGTGAATGGACCAGCAGTTTAACATGCATATTTAATGATTTGTGCCATATGCCAGATTAATACAGAGAGAGAGAGAGAGGAGAGAGATAGAGACCCACCCCCCAAAAAACAAAATATGTATATATATATATATATATATATATATATATATATATATAATTTCTTTTTCTTTCTTTTCTTCATGTTTTTTGGGGAAAAAATAGAAAAAAAGGCACCTCGTTAACTTTGCAATTGGAAAAGCACGTATGGCTGTTTATCTGACAAGAAAGGAAAAAAATAGGAGGTGAAGTTGGTCGGGATGTAGTACAAGAGAGAATTGAATTTGAATTTTTATATTATAACTATGCAGACTATTATAAAGAAATGTTGTGCTTTGTTAGAGATGCTGAATGCATTTTTGCTGTAAAGTGAATGTTTGTTCATTTATTTTTAAATTACTCTCTCTTACTGTCTCTCTTGTTCTCTTTCAGTCATGGGAACAAGGAAGTGTTCTCATGCCGAGGGATTGAGCTGGCAGTTAACTACTTCCTTGACCGAGGACACAGAAATATCACTGTGTTTGTGCCTTCCTGGAGAAAAGAGCAGCCCAGGCCTGATGTACCTATTTCAGGTAGAGACACTCCCTCACCACCTCTGGTAAAAATGAGTCATCACGGGTGTTTTCGCTTTTCCGAGAAACCAGTCTATCTAACTGCAGACTGAATGTTTGGGGCCAGTGAGTTTTTTTTCTAAAGAAATCCACTCTTGCATTGAATGGATCAAAAGTGATAGGCAGGTGATTAAACTTTCTATTCATCGGTTTACACAAAAATATGACTACACATTTCTTTCCAAAAATATCTTACTGACCCCAAACTTTTGAGCAGTGTGTGTGCTTGAATGAAGTTTATTTATATTATCCACTGGCAATTGTTGTTTTGCTTGTTTTAAGCGTGAACATCACTTTGTTATATTTTGTAATAATAATAATACAATTACCAAAAAATAACATCTCAGCTCGTAGTATTTTCAACTATTGCAGCATTTTGTAAAAATTTAACTGTTCTGTTCTATAGTTTGTTGCAAAACAGTCCCTCTGTACATCTTGGTACTAGTACAACATGACCTTTGATTTAGGACTTTAGAAACACTGATGTTTAGTTTAACAGCCCTGAGGTGTTGTTGTAGTTGATGATAATGTACTTGTTTATGTCCCTGGTCTATCTCTCTTCTGTTGTGAACGCCCCTGCTCGGATTCCTCAAGTCAATTCTGGCGAGAGAATAACAAAACTAGGATAATAAGGAAGAGTTAAGTTTCCTGCAGGTCTCGCTTGGGAATTCCCCACCAGGAAGTTCAAGAGCTTTCCCTGTTGCCACAGTTTGACGCTGAATCTTTAATCCAGTGCCTCTTTCCTGTTTCACAACTGATAGCCTGTGTTAGATCTAAGGGGTCTTGTGGTTTATAACTTCCCCAAATCAGCATTTGATATGGTCACTTGTGGTGGATATTAAATGCTAATGGATGGAAATAACCTTTTGTTTTGTATAATGTAGAGAATCATTCTTTTTTAGCTTTGTGTCATTAATTCAGTTAGTGTACATTGATCAAGTACACATGAAACAGGACATGAGTCACAAGATTGTGACAGCATCTTAAAAAAACACTTAAAGTGTTTAAGTTGAATATTTTTATTCTTACAGTCATACATTTTTTTTTTGATTTGATGGTGATGTGTCATGTGATCATTCTGTCAGCAATTGGTAAATAATGTCTCATGGCAATAGGAATGGAAATCGAAATCCATACTTGAGGTCAGGAATTTTGGATTCCTTTGTGAGCATATATATATATATATATATACTGTATATAACAATATATAACAAATACTGTATATAACTATATATATATATATATATTGGGCAACTCTTAAAGTGACAGCTCTAATATTCCTGCTGCCCTCTCTATAATAACACTAATCAAACGACAAAAGACAAAGAGAAAATTAACTCGTTCTTTACCGAATAAAATTCGTAATGTATATTTTATTTATAAAGTGCAGTGTTATTGGACATTTGATTACAGTTTTTGTACCTGAACACTGAAAATCTTAAAACACTGTATTTCAGTCGTATCTTTGTTCAGTTGTATCTTTAAAAACTTTTTTACTTGGTCTTTTTTTAACCCTCTGAGGACGGATCGGGCGGTACCGCCCAAAATGACATACTTTTACAAATATGAGAGGTGTGGTCTTTTTTGCCGTCCTCCTCAGATTCTGCTGAAAACAGTGATACCCGGAGATACCCGGTTTGTAAACACACCGTCAAAGGCCAATCAAATCGATGTTGTTTGGCAGATTCACGAGCAACAACCAATGGAAAAATTGCCGTCGAGTGGTTGAGACGTCAGAAAGCGGACACGTCGAGTATAAATAAGGCTTTACGGAGCGAGAGCGCGCTGAGATTCATTTGAGAGAGAGAGAGAGAGAGACAGAAGAATTATAATATATATATATATATACATACAATTATAGCATTGTTTATTTTTTTAGCTCTTTTATGATGGCTTGCAGTAAACGATTTACGGTGGAACAGGCTCTGGAACAATTATTGGAGAGTGACGAGGAGAAAGCATTGCTTAGAAAATTCGAAACATTCCTAAGAAAAACGCCTGGGACTATTTGTAAATAAATTTTGTTGTTTACACATTTTATTTAACAATTACACATGTCTGTCAAGCAAAGGCTTTGACAAATATATGTTTTGTTAAAAAACTGTTCACTATTGTTGTGTGATTTTCAGAAATAAATGACAAAAATCGAATTTACGTTTTTGAAATTCTCTATTATATTGCACATTTTTCACTCATACTTCCTTTATAAACACATTACATGCATGCTTATGTTAGCTTAGGGTCTTCTGAAGCCATAGATACCAAACACATAGTGTTCCAGCTCCATTACATGTAGTTTATAAGCCCAAATGTAAAAATAGAGAAAAAGGACCAAAAAGGGCTTAGTCCCCAGAGAGTGTTTACTTGTCTTTAATAATGCTTAAAGTTTTCATTAGTCTGGTTAGTAGTTTTTCCAATGGTATTTTTAAACCTCAAGCAAACGCTCCTTGTGTTTTAGCTTCATGATATTCAGCTACATTTAAATGTTTTGCAAAAAGACTAAATGTCAATGATATCTATGTTTTGTTTTTTTAACCATATTGGAATCCAAATTAAGATTAGTCATTAAAATTCAAACAATCTCCAACCCTATATGGCAATGAGAAATACAGCCTCTATTCCTAAAAATTGTCTACAAAAACAATCAAATTTGCCCTATTTCTTTATTTCCAGATCAGCATATTTTGGAAGAGCTGGAAAGGAAGAAGTTTCTCGTGTTTACACCTTCACGGAGGATTGGAGGAAAGCGTGTGGTCTGCTATGACGATCGCTTTATTATCAAGTTAGCTCATGACCTGGATGGCATCATAGTGTCCAACGACACGTATCGTGACCTGCAAAGTGAGCGTCCGGAGTGGAAGCGTTGCATTGAGGAGAGATTGCTTATGTACTCCTTTGTAAATGACAAGTATGTTATGACTTCTAATTCTTCTAATACTTTTGGTAATATGTCATCGCATTCCTATGCATTAGTCTAACCATCATAACTCCGTCTTGCACAGGTTCATGCCGCCTGATGACCCACTCGGCCGTCACGGACCCAACTTGGATAATTTTCTTCGGAAAAAAACGTTGTTGCTTGACCACAAGCGCCAACTCTGTCCATATGGTAAATATTTATCACTAAGAATCCTGTTAATGTGTCAGTTGTGTGCAATTAACAAAAATAAAATAAAGACCAATAATAATTTACAGGCTTTCCTGTAGCCCAAACAGTAGCGTTGGTGCTTGCAACACCTGGGTGATGGGTTAAATTCACAGGGAAAGCAAGAACTCGTAAAAATTTAAAAATGAAATGAAATATAAGTCGCTCTGCCAAATGCGTAAATGTCAATGTCATAAATGGATGTCGTCAATCATGCCCATGACTCATGACACATGTTTGATAATAAGGGATTTTCCTGCCATCATAGACATTGAAGCCGAATGTACCACTCTGTAGGCCAGTGATAATCTTGAAGGTGAAAGTGTTCAATGATATGGAAACAAAACAAACAATATATTCACTATTTAAAGGCTATCGTATTTAGTGCTAGTATAAATTTTTCCAATTCGGAGGGCTTTTCTTATGCCGACCTGCACTCCAATCCAGAAGGGGGCGTGTGCGGTAATGCAACACAGTTTGCTAACAGTAAAAAGCAGAAGAAGTGACAATGATCGATTTGTTTACATCTCTCAACCAGTGTTATTCTCTCAACAAAGATATTATTCTCAAGCTGTTTTATTGATATCTTACGTAGCATTACATTTACCTCAGGCATTTAGTGTCGACAGCAAGTTTGTTCACTAGAGAAATTAACTATGTATTAGTATAACCTCACTTGTAGGTATTTAAAGAACTCAGGATAGCCACCTTTCGTTATAGTCCAACACACTAGAGAGGCGCTACACATGCTTTCAATAATTAATAAATTACTAACAGGTTAAGACAGCCACTGTGTAAATGATTATATTTAAAAAAAAAAAATTGGAGTAGAAAATTAACTTTATAATTAGATTTAGAAGTCAATGCAAAACCCGCCATATGTGCAATTTACACTATTTATTATTTTCTTTGAGTGTTGATTATTGTATCTAAAAGATACATATATATATATATTGAATAATTTGGGTTCTGTTGTTAATTGTAATATTTAATATTACCCACCTTTTCGAAAAGCCCTGCTCTGATTGGCCAGCGGCCAATGTTTTTGCTCCTCAACATAGTGAAATCAGTCACCCAATAGATTATTGAGGGTGGGCCAAAGCAGCTAGTAGGTGGGAATTGTGCATATGTGTAATATGATGACGTAGCAAAGTAGCAGAAATAATGCCAGGATTACAAGCAAGGCATTTCAGACATGTGTTTTTTTTTTTTTTTTTCTTTTTTCTGGATAGATTAACCTCCTTTAGTGTGGACTTTGTGCTTTGTAAATTTGCAGATCCTTTACATGCACAAACAGCTATACTCCAGGAAAGGAAAGCTAAAATAATAAAGCATAGGTGCTCTTAAAATATTTAAGGTCACTACATTTTTTAATCAATTGACAGCCCTAGTATTTGACCTAACCCTTTATCAGAGGTCTTCAGTCCAGCTCCTGTAGTTTAGCTTCAACTTTAAACAAACACACCTGAATCAAAGTCTTCCGGATTGCTTGAAAGCCACAGGTAGGTGTGTTGGAGCAGATTGGAGTTGAGCTTTGCAGGACAGTCTATCTCCAGGAGCAAGATTGCAGACCTCTGGCCTCTATAGCCGCGTTTCCACTGGAATTATCCGGAACAATTTGTCCCAGGAACTGTTTTTCCCCCAGACCAGTTGCTGTCTGCTTTTCTACCACAGTCTAAAGTACCTTGAAGATTAGACAAATTAGTCTGGTGACATAAATACAGGTGGTTGGACTGGGAACGCCCCATGGTGTGAATTTAGCTCGTGGGGGCAAACATTGAAATACATGCGTCAATCATGCTGAATAGTTGTTGTGTTGTTTTCTGTGCTGGTGTGAGCCTCCAGGGACTTGTCATTTTTGAGATTACTGTGTGAGTAGATCCCTGTGTGATATAGTAGTGTGTGTTAAACTCATAGGCAGTGGGACAGATTTGTCTACTTCCCTTACGAAAAATAACGATAGTAATCCAACAAGATTTGTATTATAATACTTCTATGATGTTTGTGATGTCCGCTGTAGAACTTCTGTAGTTTGTCCCAAAATACTACAGTATTCCTATAGGATCACTATAATATTTTATCCTAAAATACTGCAAGATTCTCATTCACATTAGCGTTATCACCTGAAGATTGGCTTGATGGGGCAATCGCTACGTAATGACGTCAGCCGTGAACCTGACAGCACAGTCCCTCGGCAACTTCTTACTACTGATCACCATTTTGTAAAAGTATTAATAGTCAATAGTGGAGTGAAGCATACGTACAATTGGTAAGTGACCAGGTTTTATGGAGTTATAGTATGCGACATATGATTGAGTTATAGGCTAATGATACTGCTACCACGATGTCTTACCTGGAGATTTAACCAGATAACAGAATATATCTGGAAACGACTCCTCCGGCCATTTGGTTGGGTCATTGGCCCAGTTTTAATTAAATGAGGGCAATCATATCCTATTGCAGTTAATTTTGCAATGTATTGTTGCCGGTCGGCAGGTGTCAATGCCTCGCAATAAGGCGTTTTTGACATTCAAATACACACGATGTTCGCTGTGTTTTCCCCCACGCCGACTCTGCCCTCAGCACGCCCCCAACTATGACTAGTTGCTGACTGTATGTAAAAGATTGCGTGCTACTTTACAGTTCCTGAAAATGTACAATATTTAAGCTTAATAAAGCCTGAACCTCGTCATCTGGTGGTTAAAATAAAATGCTGCATAGAGTCAACAAATCAAAATGCGGCATTAACTCAACCAATCAGCATGTTCAGCGCCCAAGTCCCACCCCTGAAAGTTCCTGAACTTTGAAAAAGTACTACCTCTCAAATATTTACCCGGAACTTCATTTAGACCCTGGTTCCTGCAGTGTAAACACCCCGAAAACCAGCTCAAAGTTCCTTATGTCAACACTCGAATTGAATGAACCAGGGTTCCTCAAATCACTGCTCTGCAGAGTTTAGCTCAAATCCTGATCAAACTCGCCTACCTGTAATTTTCTAGTAGCTGTGAAGACCCTGATAAGCTTGCTCGGGTGTCTTGCTTGTTTAGGGTTGGAGCTAAACTCTGCCTGGCGTTGGGTCTCCAGGACCTGGACTGAAGACCTCTGATAGGCTTAGGTCAAATACTAGGGCTGTTAATTAATCAAGGGTTGGATTTGAAGAACCCTGAAATAGACCTTATAACACTTTTGTCTTTTTACTCTTCAGGAAAAAAGTGCACATATGGGATCAAGTGCAAGTTCTACCACCCAGAGCGCACTAACCAGTCACAGCGCTCTCTAGCCGACGAGCTTCGAGAGAATGCCAGACTGTCTGGATCTAAAGAGGACAGCAGAATAAATGGGAGAGGCATGCACCCAAGAAATGACCCCAGGTTTGAGTCCAGTTCTCCCTCCTTGGAGCAAGAACTTGAACAGAAGCTCAGATTGGAGCCCAAGAGCTCTGACAGCAGGGGTGTCATGCTCAATAACTGGGATGATATTTTGTCCATGAAAAAGCCTTTAAACAGAGCCCCAGTGGGACAGCACAGTTCTCTGGTTGACAGAACCAGTCTGCAAACACCTTTCCCAACAAACCCTTCGTCCATTTTCAGCTCAGACTCTGGGCTTGGATCCTATGAAAGCCTGTTTTCAGAACTATCCCAGAGCATTGACGACTCGCATAGGATGAGATCAAGTCATCCACCGTTGTCTGGTATCCCTACCACACCTGCAAGCGGCCAGCGCTACTACGACAACATGAGCCCTTACTCCAACTTTCATCCCAACTATAGTGCCTACAGCTCCCTACCTCTTGCCAACCCTGTCCAGAGTTACAGTCTTCCAGCTTATGCGGGCTGGTCTTACCCTCTCTACTTACCACAGGCGAGCAGTTTGCCCGAACCTTTACCCTGCCCTAGCTCTCACAGGTCTTCCAATGACTACGGAAGCCAGCAGCACTCAGGCATGCCACAGCCCAGCGCTTTCCAGGAAGAAAGAGAGGAGGTTAGGAAGAAGCTTCATGCAATTTTTAACCCACATCATGTAAACAAAGTTATGGAAATATTCCCACAGCTGAATGACGCACAACAGCTGGCTGCAGAGATTCTTAAACTCAAGTCCAGGGGAGACTTTTGATTTCTTTGAAACTTTGGGACCACGAAAAGGGCAATGCATGAATAGTCTCTCAAAATAATTAATCATGTCAGAGCCGATAACTTCACGGGAAGTGCTCCGACATGTAGATCTTCGGCTACCCAAGTTTGAGTCCAGACTGTCTTTCACCTTTCCCGATCCTGTCCCCATTTCTATCCCACTTGCTGTCAGTTCTCTGTACCAGGGTTGTCCAAACTCGGTCCTGGAGGTCCACTGTCCTGCAGAGTTTAGCTCCAAATTGCTACAACACACCTACCTGGAAGTTTCTAGAATGCCTAGTAAGACCATGATTAGCTTGTTCAGGTCTGTTTAATTGGAGTTGTAGCTAAACTGAAGGGCAGCAGGTTCCCAGGAGTATGGGTTTAAGTCTTCTTTCTTAAAAGGGACAACTGTGTACCATGTTACCCCTAGCTCAGTGGCCCTCCATGAGCAGGATTGGACACCCCTGTTCTATACTATCCTATCTCATTAAAGGAAAAATGGCAAAAAAATAAAGAACACCCTGCCCTTAAGTAGGTCTTACTCTCAGAAAAGAAAATGCCCAAAATGTTTACCTTTATGAGTACAACAGCTTGTCTCCGGGGCAATACCCTTAAAGCAGAGGCCTAGGGGGCAGTCGTGGCCTAATGGTTAGATAGTCAGACTGATAACCCAAAGGTTGTGGGTTTAATTCTTAATACTTGCAGGAAATTGCTTGGGTACCCTTGAGTAAGGCAATAACCCCAAATCGCTTTCCGGGCACCACCGCAAAAAAGGCTGCCCACTGCTCCTGGTGTGTGTGTCTATGGTTAACGGAGTGCAAACTCAGAGTACGGGTTACCATACTTGGCCTTCGCATGTCTTCAATCCTGCACCTGGGGGCTTCAATGCTTTATTTCCAACCTGCTTCAGCACACCTTCCTGTCTATTTACAAGTGATCCTGAAGAGCTTGATTAGCTGGTTGATTAGGGTTGGAACTAAACTCTGCTGGAGAGCAGGTCCCCAGGAGCAGGGTTGAAGACCTCTGCCTTAAAGGGACAACTGTGTTCCGTGTTACCCCTAAAAGTTCATTGTGTTACTTTAAGGGTACATGTTACTACCCTAGCATACTAATATGTACCATTTGGGTGTAGATAAGGTGTGATAGTGTAGCTTTTCTGTTTTTTGAAGGTTTCTGACTGGGGCTCTTTAAAGTCTCAGAAACCCAATTGACTTATCACATAGTACATGTGGTAACTACGTATGACTACAAAGTCAAATGTGTGTCTAGTTGTTTTTAAAGAGGTTGATGCACATTGCATCAATTGTTGCTCCCAACGTGCAGCAAACTGTACCTTGTCACAAATGCTGCAGGTTTGGTTTGGACAGAAGCTGAAATGTAATTTGAGCATTCTGTAAAGTTAGTTGTATGTTATTACATTCATTAAGGGCAAGCCTTGTTTTCAATGTTCAGAGTAATTTTGTTCTTAAGTCTGCACCTAATCGTTCATTCAATTCTACTCCATCACAGAATCACTTTAAATGGCAATAGATGTGATGTATCCTTGTCTCCTGCAGACGTTTTATCGTACTTGTGTTTCAGTTGCTGATAAGTTTTTATATAGTACTCCAGTTGAAGCACTACAATTGGACTGGATTGCATTTTCTGAATCTTGCCACAGCACTGGACATCATATTTAATTGTGCTTTAATGTTACATGTTTTTTATCAATCTGGTTCAGTTATGTAATGTTGAGCTTGTGGATTATGACAATTTGAATGTATAAAGGACATCTCACATATTTCCTGCTATGCAAAATTGACTTCATTCATCTCAATGTTCAAACATCTGCTCCTAAACAAGAGAATAGTGAATTATTTGCACTAATCGGTCCTGATTTACGTTTATATGTGTGTCAAAAGATGTTAAAGCCTTGACATAAAAACATATCAGAAAAAAATTAGGCTTTAGATGTATCAATTCAACATAATGACGACATCATTATTATTATTATTATAATTATACTGATGTTTTATCCACTGTTGTCGAATTAGCATATAGTTATTTGTGTAATTTGTATCACATTTGCGTCTTTGACATGCTAGTATCTATTTTTACTGTCAGTGTGCATGAGTTTGTCCAGTTTCATGTTTTCAGAGGAGACAGTCTAATCTTAGCATCTGTTTGCAAAGATGTCCCATCAACATTAGCTTGGGTGCATTATGTTGTTGTCATTCTGTTTAATGTTTCAGTTCTAAAAATATCATACTCGGCTGTAACAGCTTGTCACGTTTAGTTCAAGGTATCCAAGTAGCAACGTGCAACATGATTATTATCTGCCAGTGCCTTATAATCATTAATGTGAACAGGAATTAAGTTCTCAGAATTGCATTGGCAAATGCAATAAATAAAGATGTACTTCCTGCTCCTTGTCCCTTCAACATTCATTCAAATAAAATGATAAATGTGTATTTGGCTTCTTTTTTTTTTTTTGGTGCACATCGCATTGATATCACAAATTAAAATTTAATCTTAAAGGTGAAATGACCAATTATTACACACTGACCACTAATAAAACATAGAGAAAGGAGTACCAAAAAAATATATGTGTCAGAAAATCTTGAGACAGTAGCTGTTCCCATCCAAAGTTATGAATTTAATTTATTCACAAAGTTGGAATATCACACAAAAACATCTGCAAATAAAGCAGCGTCTCCATCCCATGTGTTCAAGAGAACAAAATCATCACTTCCTAGGAAATTGTTGCAAAATATCTGTAAACATTCATTAAAATAAAATGATAAATGTGTATTTGGCTTATTTTTTTTCTTTTTTTTTTTTGGTTCCAACCCGATCTCACGGGAATTCGTACGAATTTTACGAGGTGGCTAATTCTCAACAATTCGTACGACCTCACTAGATTTTGCTAAATCGTACATATTTTACGAATTAGCCAATTCGTATGAATTCGTACGAATGACTTACCCCTAACCCCGCCCCTAAACATAACCGGCACATGGGTTTAGACAAATCGTACGAATTCGTACAAGTGAGGTCGTATGAATTAGTACGAATTAGCCACTTTTGAATCACTCGTACGAATTCGTATGAATTGGTCGTGAGATAGCGTAGGGTGTTCGGGATCAGGGGCAGAGTGCGACCAAAAAACCTAACGGGAAAATTTTTAGGCTTTTTAGTGATGTCATAGAACCCTTGCAAAATTATTTCGAATAGGTTAAGAAAGCCACCGCTACATCTATGGTTAGATTGATTTGTTTAGATCCAGTAAGGTCGTGTCATAGGCGTATTTTGGGGTGGTCCCCACCACTTTTTCTCAGGATCGATATTGTCTCACATCACTTTTTGAAACATTGAGGCATGGGTGTACTTAATACAAATAAATAAAACATCTCCAGTTAACTAGCAGAGCATTCATTTAGTTCGCTATTAAATAAGAGATCTAGCGCTAAAATCTGTTGTTTTTTTAAACCAAGCCGAGCACTCGTGTTAACTGCAATCAGTGTCATGGATACAGTTCTCTTGTCTTCACTCGGACGCGCTCTTCAATCTATCACCGTTGCGGAGACTCTATTCATATCACAAATTAAAATGCACACAAACGTGTCCCTGCTTGATATAGACTTTTATAGACGTTTTGATGAGAGAGGAAAAAAACCATCGGATTAGTGCGGATTAGAACACGTAACCTCTGACACTCTTGGCAAAAGATCTGCCACTAAACCATTGAAGAACTCAAAACTAAATTTGCGGATTGATGGATTTAATCCTCGAAACACTATTAGACTCTCCCAACTCTCCCGATTGCCACTCCGGCCCTGTTCGGGATCACACTTGTGTGTGTGTGAGACGCTTCTTTGACTCAGAAACAGCAAACCAACATTAGAGATGCTGCGGCACCATTGGTCCACTGGTTACTCCAGTTATCCAATCACAGCTGATGCTGATGGACAGTCATATGAGGACGAGGGAAATGTGTTTCAAACATGTCTTCTTACTGGATAAAAAATACCCATAATTAAAATAGTAGTTCCCTTTTAAAAAAAAACTTTTGCTGATAATTTACTCACCCCCATGTCATCCAAGATGTCAATGTCGTTCTTTCTTTTTATGGATTTTTCTCCATATAATGGACTTCAATGGGAACCAAACGGTTCAAGGTCCAAAAGACAGTTTCAGTGCAAACTGTTCAAAGGGCTTTAAACGATTCCAGACGATGAATAAGGGTCTTATCTAGCGAAACGATCGCTCAAGTTTTATAAGCTCGAATGTTCGCCTTGCTCTGTTCTGTGATGCTCGTTCGTGACTTTCCTGTTTGAACTCGTTCATCAAAATGAACAAATCTTTTCCAGAGTCAACTCGTTCATTTCGTTCGTTGAATGAACCAAATGACACAACAATAGATTCATTCATTTTGCTGAACGAGTTCGAACAGGAGAGTCACGGAACAGAACAGAGCAAGGCGAGCATTTTAACTTATAAAACTTAAACTTTGTTATTTAATTATTAAATGAGCGATCGTTTCGCTTGATAAGACCCTTATTCATCGTCTGGAATCGTTTAAAGCCCTTTGAACAGTTTGCCCTGAAACTGTCTTTGAACCGTTTGGTTCCCATTGAAGTCCATTATATGGAGAAAAATCCTGGAATGTTTATCAAAATTTCTTTTTGACTGAAGAAAGAATGACATGGAAATCTTGGATGACATGGGGGTGAGTAAATTATCAGCAAAAGTTTTTTTAAAAGTTAATTACTCCTTTAAATGAGTGCTTAGATTTTTAGACTTTATCTTGCCGTTTTAATCCAGGGTTTTTTTTTGTTTTTTTCAAAATAGCTGGGTGAAAATCACAGTAATTTTAAATAAAGACAGAAATAGAGCAGACTTTGCCTCCTCATTCCAGAAGTCCTATGCATTCAACCAGTGGTGCCATGAATAGTTTAGTAATAATAGTCAGTATAATGTTGGTCACGTGTTCACTTTTTTGTTTTCACTATAACTTGAGCTTTTATATAATCATGCAATCTTACTAATTACATTTTAAGATATGCATATACAAATAGGTGTTAGCTCTAAAAAAGCTGCATGCACAACAATTTAAGAACAATTATAACAGTTTTACATGGAGATTGACAAGTAATACCACAGACATGAGTATTTCATGTTGACTATGTTTTGACATGTTTCTTGTCACGAAATAAAAACATTTGTGCCAAATATTCAGTTTTGTGTGATTGATGGTTTATGGCATCTGAAGTATGTACTAGAGCTGAGAGCTCTAATTTTAGTCCATTACTATAGACACACCTTTAAATTCAACTGTAGAAAGTTGTGTTATAATTTGCTTTTACAGCCAAAAACTATTTGCAGCTTATAAATAATGACATTTGCACGTGTAAAGATATCCAAAAATCATGTAGAGCAAGACAATTGATTGATATACACATGGATTCAACATTCAAATCCAACCTATGTCAAATTTGGCTTTCAGTCTCCTTCCTTTCTGACTATGTATTTATCCGGCTCTACAAGGAAGAAGGAAGTTCACAAGCAACAAAAAGGGTATGCAAAACAGCTCCTTGTAAAAATGGTTTATTACTTTATCTCAATCCATAGGAATGTTATTTCCTTTCTTAGTAAGAGGAAGTTAGGTGACTAAAATAATAAGCATAACAGACAAAAGCCAAAGCAAACACTTTTGCACAAGATGTGTGTCACATTATTGCATCTTTGACAAACATTTGATAACATGAGAATTGTAGTTTCTCTGGGATAAAATACAAAATTAAATCTTTTAACATCGTTTCAGTTTCCAAGAAGGTCCAAAGCAATGAAACATCGTTCGCACAGGGAAATCTTTAGATGGCTTCCTCATGGTGAGGATCACAGTTGGCCTCTTGTGATGTACGGTAAATACAGGGTATTTTGAACCTAAACCTGATATAGTACAATGCAAATGAGCGGTGGCTGATCTTTGCCTAATATGGCTGTTTAAAAGTCAACTTCGTCCCGGTTCAACAAGTGTTTCTTTGATTTGCATTAGCGGATGCAGTAAGTAGCCCTGTCTGCAATGCCTGACTGCCGAATTCCACAGAATTTGTTCATCGTTCATCTCACTTCACATGTCTGCTCCTTGTATGTAAATATTGTGGTTGATTTGATCATTCTCTATACTGTTGAGATGTGCTAATGTTCACACACACACAAAAAAAAAAAAAAATCACTGAATTCTGAAGAATTGGTGGCTAATTTTTGCTCCACTTGCTGCCGTCGCGCTGACGATTAGGGCTGGACCCCCTCTGGTGCTCCTCGGTTATGTTTGACCGAAAAATTTTACGATTTTTTTTTCCATCGAATTTTTTACTTCATCGGAATGGCATGAAACTTAGCAAAGGCTTTGACACTTGCTATGTGAACTAAAAAAAAATCATGGACATGAATCGAAAAGGTTAAATGGTCCTGAAAAAATAGTCACACTTGTTCTAATCGTGGTCAAAAATGAGCGCAATGGAATGAATCGGAGACTGATTTCCTCTAGTGGAAGCGTTTGGTACTGCGGCCAGACACTCTCACTGAACGCTCATTTTTCGAGATATCAAGCTCAAATTTGGAACACAACTTTGTGTTCTTTGTAAAGCCAACTTATGGCTTTGATTCTCTTGCAGTTTTAGAGTAAAATGTGATTTTGGAAAAAAAAATCAAACAAAAATTGAAAATAGTACACACCATTTTGTGACTTAAGTTTAAAACTTTTTTCTCTTCTGCAATAATTTGCCAAGTGTCGTCTTTGAAAAGAGATCAAACTTCAGTCTGTTTCTTTAAAGCACTCAAGATTTACCAGTTTAAGTTGGAAATGTAGTTTCCAGGTCTATGCTCAAAAAGTGAATAAATAGATTATAAATACAGCGTAAATATAACTTAGTACTATAAAATCCTCTAAAAAATATAAAATATTAAATAAAAAACATTATCAAGCTAAAATATAGTAGGGGAGAGACGGAGTTAAAACACGTTTCAGATAAACGTCGTTTTCTAAGACAAGGTTACAGATAGATTTTTTTTTTGTGATCAACAACTCACATTTGTGTTCCCATTTCATGTGTTATTCGGTAGAAATATAGAATGGTTTAAGTAAAAATCGTCGCAAGAGCAGGGCGATTGAAACACGGGGTGGGACGGATGAAACATAAGTTTTAACGGTGACTATTCATCTAATGCTTGCCCATTAAACAATATGTGGTCAGCCTTTGCGCATTTTGCGTAATCTTTCTAATAGGCTATTTTGAAGAAGAATCTGGTAACAATTAATTCGTACATTTATTCCTCGAGTCATATTGAGTGATTGAGTAATTTTTTAAACTAAAAATCTCTGATATTATACACTTAGGGATGTGTTGCAGCACTAATTCACCTGCTGTATTATCATCAATGGCACATGAAACAATAAATACAACTT